AATTCATCATTTATTCCCAGGACATTTTTCTTTTTTTTTTTTTTTTGGTACCTGGGATTAAACTCGGGTCCCTGCGCTTGCGCAACAGGCAGTGAAACCACTGAGCTAAATCCCCGGCCCCCCAGGACTTTCTTCTGACCCATTTTATCAAGTATTAAGCCAGGAACTTCAGCCCTAGTTGGAACTTTTTCAGCTGTAGCTCTTACACCCAGTAAGCTTCAAGGTTTTGTGCGGAATTTTCACATCTTTATCTTTCGGTATTACTACCCTTTTTAGAGAACTTTAACCCGGCCATATTCCACCTGTGGTCAGCAGTCCTTGACACAAACCTAGCAGACTGAACCCAAGCCCACCTCCCGCTCCAAGGCTCCCTGCTGGTCTTCCACTAGGGCCTCCCTGGTTTCTTCTGTGTACCCAGGGTCTTGCTTGGCACTCTGGGCAATTAGGGAGATGACCCAGCTTTCTTTTTCCATTCTCCTTTCCCCTTTCAGCTTTGGCTACATACATGACACAGACTGACCAAACAGACATGAGCAGAAGTCTGCTCTGAAATTCTGGGTGAAGGGGGAATCATGTTTTCTTGACCCTTTATCCTTCTTGCTCCTACAGATGTAGAGGTGATGACTGGACTTGAAGGAGCCCTTCTTGCCAACATGAAACAATGGCCAAAAGAATGTCATGAATATCCTTGAAATATATAATTATAAAAACACCACCATCAAATGCCTTCTCCAAACTTATGTAAGAAAAACTCAGTTAGGGGTTAGATCCAGAATGACCCCCAAACTATCATGTGCTCGGAGGTGGGGCTTTTGGGAGGTGAGTGGGTCACAGTGCCCTGTAGCTGAGCGCAGTACTAGGCAGTGGGGCCTGGCTGGAAGAGGCGGTCATGGGGTGACAGAAGGTGCACCTCCTTTCCTGGCTCCTCCCTGCCCTCTCTGCCCCCTGGGCACCATGATGTGAGCAGCTTTCTTCCACCAGAGCCTTGCACCATGCTGTTTCTGCCCTGGAGCCGGCTGACAGTGGACTAAAATGTGAGCCAAAATAAACCCCTCCTCCTTTCAGTTGTGGGTGCCCGGCACCCTGGCCAGTGATGAGGAAAGTGCCTATGACATTCATTTCCTACCCCCATAGCAGCAGTATAGAGCTGCCTTCCACAGCTTGATGACCCACTGGGGATCCCCTTCCGCAGCTAGGGCAGCTCTTCCCGCTGCTGAGCATCTGACTCCAGCTCTAGTTTTGTTGCTCAGCATGTCCCCTCCTCCAGGAGGACCTGGTGTTCCAGGCTGACCAGCCCAGCCTCTGCTGACCTCTCCACTGCCCTCAGAGCCCAGATGCTCAGGACCTTGTCCTGGATAACCAACGTGTTTGGTCTCTGAGCCTTTGCTCTCTCCCAGTTCTATCCTACAATGAACACTATGACACAACAGGTTTGTATAAAGGACATCTGATGGTGCACATCAAATGATGCAAACGCATCATCCCCACAGCCTGTGGTAATGCACAGGAACTCATGTCCTCAGAATTCCTCACTGGTTCCCTACTGCCCACCACACTAGAAATCCAAACTGTCCCAATGATATATATCATATAACTTCAATAAAAAATTTAATGTAATTTTCCACATATTTAATCTATTTCCTTGGCAAATGGAATGTTACAGTTCTTAAAATTATTATAGAAAACAGAATGATTCATTTAAAGTGTTTTGCTCTTCACTTTGACTTCGGAAGATTACTCATTATCAAATCCTAGGTTACCTCAAGGGTCACTTCTTCCAAGGTCTCCAATGATAACTTCAAATGGGAGAAATTTCAGTACCCCTTGGTATAGCTATGACACATAACACACTACCACACAGTTTCCTTACTGGGGCACCCATGTGCTTCTTGTGGGCAGTGGTGATATAATACTACTTAAGTATCTATTTGACAAATACTCACCCAGCCCTTCCTAGTCTAGGTGTGGGTGGTATGAACAAGGCAGGTCACCTCCATTCTGATGGAGCGTGTGTTCCAAGGCGGGGGGGGGGGGGCATGTCTTTCCAGACAACAAGCAAGGAAATGAATGAACAAAATAGGGTCATCTCGGATCAGGCTGGGTAGAGAGGAAGTCCTCCCTAGGAGCTGATATGTGAGCTGCAGTCTCAATGAGAAGAAGAACCAGCCCCAAGGAGGAGACCAGAGCGGGGCCCGAGGGTCTTGTGGCTGAGCAAGGGCATAGGAGGCAGGGACAGCAGAGCGGCAGAGGTGGCAAGGCTGACCCTGAAGGTCCACAGAGGCCAAGCACAGCAGCTTGGATTTCACACTAAGGTTTTAAACAGAGAGTAACCCAGCCTAATTTACAAGGCAAAATGATCTCTCTGGCTGCTGTGGAGAAAATGGATTACACAGGGTCAAGGGTGGAAGCGGGAAGCTGAATTGGAAGACGCTCTGAGTGTGAGGTTACAGTAGGTTGGATCTGGCAGTCACAGAGCAGAAAGAGAAAGAGGTAGAGACAGTCGTGTCTTTAGTACTTCAGTACCTTGGACGTGATAATGCTCAGATATGTTCTCAATGTCTACCTGGTACTTCATAATAGTTCTTCTGTGTTAAATTTCAGTTTTTCCTGTTTTGATCACATATTATGACTTAAATTCTTTAACACGTAAGGAGTCAAAGAGAAAAGCAAGTGTAGTAGGCAATAGGGCTGATGAAGAATTTGGAGCACATCATGCTCAAGCAAACAGAAGGAGTCCCACAGTGGAAAGTCACCTAACAAAGGACAGAAAAGACGGCGTTTGGAAGGTCATAATGTTAACTATGAGGAGTAATAAATCACGTGAAGCAAATGGCCAGATGTGGAATTTATAATCTATGACACACATATTTGATTTTTGTTTATCCACTCATCTGTCCACTGCCTGTTTTTAGAAATAAAGTTCTTTTTGGAAGAAAATATACAAAAGGATGAAAATAGAGTGTTCAGATAAAAAGATCTACACTTTAAAAGACAGCCAGCCAACATCTGCTGGAATAGTGTACCTAAAAGGAGGCTATATTTCATTTTCAGTAAAATCCAAGGCGTTTTCAATTCTTTCTTTTGCTTTTCTAGAAATTTAAAATCTTAAATGTCTTTATATGACAAATTTCCCAATAAGCAAGCTAATACTATTTTCCCTGAAAGGAATGTTTATAGAATTCTAGAGTGCTGAGAACTCTAAATGAGGAATCTGAGAAAAGACGAAGGGTAGAGTTCTCCTCTTTCACATACACCTTCCAAGATATTAACCCAGCCAGATGCATCCTGGATTAGGAATTAAATCCGAGTTCCTTCAATACAAAGTAAAATCCAGGAGAAAGCAGGATCCATTTTTGCCACCCCCACCCAATGCTAAACGGCCCCTGAATCACATGAAACTTGGCCCGGTCGGTGTGAAAACGCTGAAATCCATTTGAAGGGCAGTCTGGGTTTGTCAAAGTAGCTCATGAACTTCTGGCCAAACTTCAAGGAACCTGGTCCAAGTCTTCGTTTGTAATGCAACATGAAACCAGGTGAATTTCAGAGGGTTTCAGGTTTCCTCCTGAAAATTTGGCCTTGCTTTCCAATCAATCATCACTTTTCGTGATGATGAAAGCCAATGCACCTTTGTGAAAACGAGGACTGTGTGGGCGCCGATGACAGCCAAGCTGTGAGCCATCCCTTCCTTTCTTTGCCAAAAGATTTCTCAGAATGGAAACAGTTTCCCTCTTACCTGGAAAGGGCAAGCTGAGCCATTTTGATGCTGTGTGTAGAAAGAAATGCTACTCGATGTGAGGCGACGTGCCCTGTGAAATAATCACCACCTACAGAGAACCATAATCTGCAGTCTCATCATTTAGGGCTGAGTTTTATTCCACTCCCATCTACGACAGCAGACGGCATGATATTTAATTTCCTTGACCATTAAGATGGGCTTTTAACTTGATGCTAGTCATCAGCTAGAATAATCACCATGAGAAACTGAATGCTGAGGTCTAATCCTCATTTCTACATGAAGACTAGAAAGAAAAGAAATACAGCATAACCTTTAACAGGTTTAAGACACATGAGGGGATAAAGCTTTCAAGTGTACATCAACTGAATCTTCTGCAAAAAGAAGAAATCTCTATAGTACAAACACATTCAATAGTTAAGCATGGTGCATTTTACATAAAGACCTACACAGTTTGTTTCAACCTGAAAGTTTTAAATGTGCTTTTTCACTGTAAAAAATTACACTCTTCAACCAATTACTCGCTGTTGTGCATAGTGACATGAGAAAATTGAAAGGTATGTCTCAACAGAGCCACTACATCATTGGAACAGTATGTCTGAACATTCGGGTAATCATCCACAGATGCGCGGCGGCAGACTTGGCACTGCCAAGGTAACAACAAAGCATTCGGTATTGGTTGTAATGGTTTTAAGGACCGCGTTGGAGAAGAACAAAAGAATGTCCCTCTTCTCACAATGCTGAGTCATGGTACACCTTTTATCTGCTTAAAAATATACAAACACCAAGAAATTCAAATGAGTATTATTCAAACTTATGATGAAGAACGATATAAGGAATGCATTAATATCTTTATCTATAATAAAACATACTTATGCAATAGCACGTAAAGTTCAACTGCAGAAAAATGCTAGGTCCAAGAGAAATCCACATGGCTTTAATGTTGCAAAACAATGCATGCAAATCTGAAGGACCCAGCATTGATTGGAGAGATGGATACCAATGCCTTTTAGGAGTGATTTGGCCCTTGGTCGGTTGGTCTAACTATTGTAGCATGCTCTATGCACAGGCATCAAGTTAAGATAATACAGGAAATATACATATTAGTTATTATTGAGCCCCTTTCACTTATAAGAGCCATGGTATTTGAATCAATCATTGCTAAATAATGCAGCACAAGGGCAGTTATGATACTGGGGTACTTTCATTTAATACGTTTAGAGCTGGAAACGAATTTTCTGCCTAGGATAGGAAAAGTCCAACTTACCCGAGGTCCCTGATCACCTTGTTCCCCCTGTAACACAGGAAGATAACAGCTTCAGCCAAAATCTACATGCTATGCTTATTTAAAAGGTCAAAATATAACACAGTATAGTTAACGCCCATAAGGGTTTCTAATAACTTCTGTATGTTTTGCCGTGCATTTTCTTACCTTATCACCTTTTGGACCAGGAGGACCCTAAAAAAAAAAGAGAAAGAAAAAAATTTTAAGTAAAAAATTACAGCTTGAGTAGACCCACGAGGTCAACTGAAAGATTTATAGCAAGAGCACAGATTTCTGAGTTCTGGTTTCCAAAATGTAATTATAATACTATTAGAATATAAAAATGGCAATGTATGTGTATGTCTACAGATGTAACATATACACGTATTTTGTCACAGGTTAATAACATGCTGAATAGATTTTCACCAGCTGAATACAACTGTGTGAGTTCAACCCAGCTAGAAAACCAGAACACTACCAGCAAGTCGAAGCTCCTGTTGTGACGTCCCTGTCACTGCCCTCCACAACGGGAGCCATACCCTGACCTCTGGCAGTGCAGATGGGTTTATCTACTTTTCCACTCTATATGAATGATCATACAGTATTAATCTGGCCTCTCGCTCACTAGGTGTGAAATTCATCCATAATTTTGGGCTTAGTTGTTCATGGCTCCTACTGCTTTATAATATTCCATTGCACAAATATACAATTTATACACCTTCCTCTCGATGGCCATTTATTTCCAGAAGTTTCTAGAGTCTTGGCTATCACAAATAGCGCCACAGTGAAAACCCTAGTACATGTGTTTTGGAGAAAAATTGTATGCAAGTCAGTTGTGTGTATATCTACGAGTGAAACTGTTAGGTAATAGAGTACACATATGAATTAGTGGATATTGACAAATGGTTTTCCAAAGTGGTTCCTACAGTTCACACCCTCATCTACAATGTATGACAAATGATCATCAATACTTGTTTTTTAAAATTTTATATGTTCTGATGGGAGTGTGGTAATTTCACATAGTCTTATTTCTCCAGTGGTTAGTACATTGAATCCCCTTTAATACTCTTACTGGCCATTTGCATCTTCTTTCGTAAATCATCTACATCATCTGCTTTTGTCATACTGACTTGTCCTACTGTATTGCTAAGAGTTCATTATACATCATATGCTACATGTTTGTATGCATACAGATGGAGACAAAGAGGTTTCACATAGGCTGAGTGCATCTTCGATCCGCTATATTTACAGCAAATTTATTTTCCCACTCTGTACTGCCTTTATGTTATCTTTTTTGTTTTTTGGTACCAGGGATGGAACTCGGATCCTTGCACTTGCGGAGCAGGTGGCAGAACCACTGAGCTAAATCCCAGCCCTTCTTTGTGTTATTGTAAGGTGTTCGCAGTAAACAGGTTCTTGATTTTAATTAAACTTAATACAACATTTTTTCTCATTATGGTTTTCCTTTTTTGGGTTCTACTTAAATCTTTGCCTACTCCAACATCATGATGAGACTCTTTTATGTTTATTCAAAAAGCTAAAAACTTTATTATTTTACCTTTTTTATTTGGATCTGAGTTAACTGAGAACTGGACTTGTGTTATTATGGGAGGTAAAAGTCAAGATGCTTTTTCCTCCAAATTTGAGTATTAAATTAACCAAGAACTGTGTATCTTTTCCTCATTGTGGCACTGTACTACCTTGGTCACAGACCAGGTGGCCGTGTGTGTGTGTGTTTAAAGAAAGGAATTTCTATTTTGCTAGGTATCTGCTTATTCTTCCAACTACATTGACATTTTCTTTACCTTTGAATAAAAATACTGGCAAGAATAACTGCTTCCAAGGGCATCAATTATATTGTCTTTCCTAGTTCTTAAAAATGAAGTCATGTTTTCGGTTTAGCCCTAACTAAAAAATTGGAGCATTTCTAAGACAGCCGTAATCTCTCCACGCCACTTTTAGTGGGGTTGGGAGAAAAGGACAAATCCAAACAGGAAGTAAAGACAAGCTTTTAATAAACTGTTCTTCATTCTTGGTCCCCGAGGAGACGGCTGTGACCCTGCAGGTGGGGACTCAGCAACGCTACACCTGCTAAAGCGCCTCCTTCTGCCTCAGTCACAGAGGAACTGCACCAAGTCCCCATCCTCAGGGGCTGCTTTTCTGCTAAGAGTTGTGATGCTATCATGAAGTTAAAAACGGCACCATGTCTTATATTTTGTGTATTTTACCACTGACAAAGAATTGCACCTGTTAACTCCACCTAAACTTCCCTGCAATGCAGTGAGGAAAGTATTAGGATAATCCTCTAATGGAGGCCAGAAATGAACCTCAAATCTTATCTATTTGAGGCCTCCTGGGAGTGCATTGGCCAGGACTTAAACCCAGTCTGCAACTTTAAATGCCATGGTTTGGAGCCTAAGAGTTGGGACCCAGATGTGGAACAAGGCTGTCAGAATCAGGCCCATGTATCTGGTTCCTGCCTTCTGCATGCCTGTCGAAATGCCACAAAGGTCACGCTGTGGTGTCACAGACACCTGACCCAGGTCCTCAGGTTTCAAACGGGGGTAGAGGAGGAGGAGGGGAGCGGGACGGAGAGGGGCTGGGATGTCAGACACTGCGGCAGACGCCTTTTCTCCCGCCCCCAAGCTGTTTGCCACTGTGCTACCTGGGTCATAGATCAGGGCCTGAGAAAAAGGGAAGCTAAGAAAATGTTTTCTTCAGGTTTTCAGTGAAGTTTTAATTTCTTTATTAATGTTTTCAGCCAATCAAGTAGTGAGAATGAGTACCGTCCGTGAGCCCACCTCTGGAGAACTGAGTTGAGGGGTTTATTTCGTTATTGTAGCACACACGAATGCTCACTAATGCAGCCCAAGCAGGATTTTTTTTTTTTTTGTAGGGCAAAGGAAAGCCAAGGGAAAGAATTAATGAGATGATATCTACCATCAAAATTTTAAGCAATACAATGGAGATTCTAAGCGTTGATTTAAGTACCATGGTATTGAACTCTACTTTGAGTTTTATATACATTTGCTGAATGGCTAGAAAACATTCAACATGTCCTGGTGGAGGACGTGGCAGAGAGGTTGATATACGCAGATATGGTCCCTGTCCTCAAAAAGCTAAATCATCCAGAGCCAAGCTCACAGACTTGACCAGCGTTAAGAAACAAAGGACCCCTAGAAACTTCAGGTGCTTTAAGGCCAGCTGCTACTGCTGACGCCTTTCAGCCTTCACACCCTCTTTCCCTGCAAAGGTTCTCCCCTGAACAGTTTCTTCTGCTTTTGCTGGTGAGACCTCTGAGGCCGCCAGGGCCCCTCTGGGTGCTGTGGGAGTGACACGCCAGGCGGAGGTCAGTTTCTGCAATCTTTCCACAGTGCACAGTAGTGATGATTTCTGTGCAAAGTCCAGGTACGGATGCTCAAGTTGCATCTGTCAACCAGAGCTCTTCAGCTAGAGAGCCGCAAGCAAGGCTCCCGTGAACACATGAGAATCTGCACCGCAACCCAGCAGTAAAGACTGCTGCTCTCCTCGAGGCGCGGGGCTTTCTGGGCAGACAGTGCGGCGTCCCAGCACCTGCCAGCCAAGACCAGTGCAGAGCCCGGCCTCCACTCACAGCTGCGCCCGGGATCAACAGCGGGTGTTCTTCCGCGCTCACTGAAATCCCACTCTTCTTTCCAAATTGGACCTCTTCACTGAAAACACAGGTTTGCTTGGAAGAATAAAGTGGGCAGTGTTTTGAAATCTGGGAAATCTGGGAGCCATGGTTCTTTTCTAAGTCAAAATATTAACAAATGAAAGAAAGTTTGGTCCTGATTTTAATTTTCTTTTGTCTTTAGAGTTAAAAACATAACTCATTAGTTTTAACTAATAGGTTGGCAACCATACCAATTAATGACTGTAATTATTGGAGGCACAGACTATATGCGGCATTTTGTTTCACCTGTACCAAGTTTAACAATGTAACATTCAGCAGACACATTTATTGTTCAGGTAACTGTATCACTGGCCAATTGGCGGTGACTATGTGAGAGTAAAACTATCTCTAAAGCCAGGTTGAGGTCAATATGGAAACAGGAGAAAATGAAGAGTCATGTATCATAGAATTGTGACTCTACATAGGGCTACTTTTGGGATTTCTGATCTGGTCTGGTCTAGAATGTTGGAGTGTGATCATTTATAGGGCCCACTTTAGTAAATAAAAATATTTGAAATGATCTTTTTAAACAGTTTCATGTAATTAGCCGTAATTACATAAATATTTAAAGGTGCTAAGAAAGTTTATTAGTGTTAGTTGAAATATTCTTTAGATCACTATTCATTGAATACCAAACTTTCTGTAAATTTCAGTGACAAATCTTCCAACTAGGTAGGCCCTGTTCAATGTTTAAATTCAGAATTTACAGTCACTTCTTTCAATCCAAGCCCTTAATGTGGGTCTTAGCCTACACTGACTTTTTCAGACCAAGTAACTAAAGTTTTAGTTCTTTTCCTATGCTCTATTGTCTATTTCAATATATATATACATATATATATATACACACACACATATACATATAAAAACTAAAGCAAAGAGGCACAATGAACAATATGCAAGAAAATTTTTGATGAAATTTCAGTCTACATAAAAGCAAGTGAAATAGACCGGAAGGGAGAGATTTACGGCCTTGGATGAACCAGTGATGCCTTTTATTCACTAGAACTGAATGTAGTACCGACTTTGAATCAGCAAATGCTAAAGAGGGGATGAGTTTTGGTTTTTTTTTGGTACCGGAGATCAAACTTGGGACCTTGCATTTGCGAGGTAGGCGAAGAGGGGATGATTTTTAAAATTTGACAATCATCAAAACAAAATTGAATTCTGCCAGAGGTAGAAAAATGAGACAGAAAAGGAGCAAATCCTAGAAATCCTTGGCAGGCAGGGGCTGCTGGACAAAGAATGAGGTTATGATTTGCCTCCCAGAAAAGTGGAGATATGTTTATTTTTATTCTTGAAATATAACAAAAACACTTTCTGGTTAATCTTTTCTTCACTGGAGAATGTTGAGGACAGCAAGTTTCACCCACTGAACATTTGGGGCTGCCAGCCAGCCAGTGTGCTGTATGCCCGCAGGACAGACATACAAGCCCGATTCCCAGCCGGGAGGACCCCTCGGGGGCAGGAGAGCCGGAGGTGGAGGTGGAGGATGATGCAGCGG